CTGGTATTTATAAATTAGAAATCCAGATTATCGATTATGAACATGACATTAGTTACAGAAAAGAAGATTACATTGAAGTTAAAGGATATATAAAAGTTATTAGTAAGTTATATCTTTTTAAAATTCTTAATTTTTTTAAACTCAATTTTTTTTATAATATAAAATATACTTTACATATGACATATTTTTTTGGAAGTTCAAAGTATGTCGGATATAAAGTTAATAGGAGACAAAACATTATCATTTGCTAAGTTATTACAGGGGACAAAACCAATAAAAAGAAAACTCCCTGAATGTAGTTTGGAGTTACCGCCAAGCAAGATTGCTCGCAATTAAATTTGAAATTTAGTAAGCATTACAAATATTTTATTTTATTTAAGAGAATTATAGATTAAGTATGTAACGGTGCATTAAAATCACTAATTCCATATGTTTTAGACAATGATTTTGCGTTCTTCGAATGGTTTATTGCAGTGTACCATCTTAAATGTACATTATAATACGTTGTGGACGTAAGTGGTAATGATTGATCAGAAAAAGGAGCGCAATGAGTAGGGATCCACAAACGACTCCGGTTATAAGTAACAGCTTGGATATATTTTAGGATTATATTTACAAGGGTAGGAAATGTCAGTGTAAGGCTTGTAAAGGAAGCTTGATTTCCAGGAAAGGTAGGAAGTAAGTCGGGTGGCACCCAAAGATGCCGCGCCGAAAGGTGCGAAGGAGTTTAGTGCCGGTGACGACGAAGGTCTTCCTTTTTCAACGCGCTAAAGAGGGCCTTCGTCCGGTCCTGCACGAAGGGCCTGCGTTGGAACCGCGGGATCGGTCTCAGTGGGATTGAGATCACCGATCTCAATCGGGTGCGGTCAGGAGACGCTTGTGCCAGCCGCCGAAGAAGGTCCGCGAAGCGTCCCGGGGAACCGGATGGTCGCGAGCGCCTTGACGGCGTCGCTGGCTGGTGACTCGGCGTGCAGAAGGTCCGGATGGAAGGACCCTTCGGACGCCCGGGAGTCAGCGGCTTCGGTGGGCTGCGCTGCTTCGCTCGTCCTGGCGTTAGCGGTTTCGTCGGCGTCCTGACCGGCGGACTCGGCGGTGAGGTGCTCTCCTCGGTCTGCGTTCATCGGCTGACCGTTGGCCGGGGCCGAGGATCCGTGGGTCGCTGTTCGGGCCTGGCGAAATCGACGGGCGTCAGACGCCACGAGAGGTAGGCCACTCCTGGGTCGAGTCGGCGTTCGGAAGTCTCCTCGGTCGCTGGGGCTTCCTGCGGTGGCGGATGGCTGCTCACCTCGAGAGGACAAGGTGGCCTCCTTTTTCTTGCCCGCGGCGTGGTGGCGGGGCTTCTCCTTGCAGGCTCGGCGAAAACGGCCCGGTTGGGCGTACTCGGAACGGAGCTGAACAGAGGCCTGGTGTGTGCCTTGAATCGAGAGGCCGGGACTCCCGCTTCCTCTCGATTACAAGGGACCGAGCTTGCTCTGTCGCTTGTTACCCCAAAATACTCTCAGAGTGGCGGCCTAAGAAGCTCACACCACTCTGAGAGCAGAAGAACGTGCTTGAGACCATCCACGGAGCCCTAGATATAGCGGGCGTGGGTGAATCTTAATTACGAGAATTGTAGTGGCGGCAGGATGATACCCGATTGACCACGTCCCGATTGACCACCAGCCACTCACAGCGCTTGAACAGTGGAAAATCTCTAGGCACCGGCCGCTGTGAGTGGCTGTGGTCAATCGGGACGTGGTCAAACGGGACGCTCCCGTGGCGGCACCTAGCAGTGGCGCTGCGTACTACTCTCGTCACGTGGCGGGCGCGCGGGCCCGGCGCGCGGCCAGACGCGCGTGCCGTAATTGTACCGCCACAGCACTCCCTTTCCAGTGGGGGACCCACGATTATGATAAGCCTGCCTGGAACCGATCCGGGAAGTGGACTCGTCGTCCGGATCTCGTGGTCCTCGTGGATGGTTCTGTTCTGTGTTTCGGGAGTTGTGTTGGTGCCTCCTTCGTGTCCTCTGTATTAGCTAACAAGTATGCCGGTTTGATTCTGTCTATCAATACGTTGACCATCTTGTTGTTGATCTTGACTTTGATGGTCTTGTCCTTTCGCTCGATAACCTGATATGGTCCGTCGTACGGTGGTTGCAAGATCGTCTTGGGCCCATCGTGTCGTACGAAGACGTGGCTGCTTGTGGCGAGGTCTTTAAAGATGAATGCCTTCTGTGCTGCGTGGTTGGTCCCTTTTTTTGGTCGCAACTGTTCGAACTGCTGGCGCAGCGTTTTGATAAGGTGAGCTGCGTCATCAGCAGTGTTGGTAGGCTCTTTGTTTAAGAATTGACCTGGTAGCCGGAATGTTTCACCGTAAACTAGCTCGGCTCTGGTTGCGTCCAAGTCTTCGCGCCAGGCGGCGCGGATGCCCAGAAGGATTGTAGGCAAGGCTTCTGTCCACTTGTCGTTTGCGTGACATCTGATTGCAGCTTTTAACTGGCGATGAAACCTCTCTACCAGTCCGTTTGCTTGTGGATAGTATGCCGTCGTGCGTAGGTGTTTACTGCCTGTTAGTTCGTTCAGCTGTTTAAACAGCTGTGACTCGAACTGACGTCCTTGATCGATGGTGATCCGCAGGGGCACGCCAAAGCGGCTGATTCAGCCGTTGTAAAATGATTTGGCTACTGTCTCTGCTTCTTGGTTTTCCATTGGGATTACTTCTGGCCATCTCGTAAAGCGGTCTACACAGGTGAGGCAGTATTGATACCTTCAGATACTGGTAGAATTATGATATCGAGATAGACGTGTTCGAACCTTTTGGTGGGCAGATCAAAGGTTTCGTGTGGAGCTGATATGTGCGTCGTTATTTTCGAGCGTTGACAGGCTGTACAAGCTCGCGTCCATTCCCGGCACTCTGCGTTGATGGATGGCCACACGTAGCGTTGTGAGTTTAGTGGTTGTCTTGACGCCTGGGTGTGCCAAATTGTGGATCGCTTCAAAGGCGGCTCGTCTGAATGGCTTGGTAAGAAATGGACGTGGCGTCTTGGTTTTTGTGTCGCACCAGATAGCCAAGCCTGCACCAGGGATTTCGACCTTCTTGAGCTGCAGGCTTTTTTCTTCGACGATAAACGATAACAGCTCTTGGTCTTCTTGTTGAGATTTGGCCAATGCTTCGTAATTAATCGTCGAGTGTATTGCCTCCACTCGTGACAGCGTATCGGCAGTTACGTTGTCCTTGCCTGATATATGGCGTATATCGGTGGTGAATTGACCGATATAGTCAAGATGCCGGAACTATCTTGGCGTGCACTTCTCTGGTCTCTGGCGGAAGGCAAAGATGAGTGGCTTGCGATCGGTGTAGATCACGAACTGGCGAGCTTCTACCATATGTTTAAAATATTTGATGGCCAGGTAGATTGCCAGCAGTTCTCGGTCAAAGGTGCTGTATTTAACTTCAGTGGGATTCAGCTTCTTGGAGTAGAAAGCCAGTGGTTCCCAGTCTTCGCCATGTCGCTGTTGGAGAACTGCCCCGACGCAGCGGTCAGATGCGTCCGTGAAGAGGGCTAGTTCGGCGTACGCCTTTGGATGTGCCAGTAGCGCAGTTTGGGCGAGACTGTTCTTCGTGGATTCGAAAGCTTGTTTCGTTTCTGGCGTCCACTCCAGGATTGTAGCGCCTTTGTTTGAACCGAGAAGATCATGGAGTGGTGCTTGTGCTGCTGCGGCCCTGGGTATAAATCTTCGATAGAAGTTTAACATATCCAGGTAACGTCTAAGTTCTTTGGCTGTTTTGGGCAAATTGTATTCTCGTAGCCTTTTTATTCGGTCAGGTAGTGGCTGTGTACTTTCCGAATTCACTAGGTAACCGAGGAAGGTTACTTGGGAGCGCCCAAAAACACTTTTTGCTGGATTGATGACTACGCCGTACTCATTCAGGCGTTTGAAGAGAATGCGAAGGTGCTCCAGATGCTCATCCTCCGTTCTTGATGCGATAAAAATGTCGTCGAGGTATGCGTAACAGAAGCTTAGTCCACGCAATACCTCGTCGATAAACCGTTGAAAGGTTTGTGCTGCGTTGCGTAACCCGAACGACATGTATGGAAATTCAAACATGCCGAAGGGTGTTGTGATGGCTGTTTTTTCAATGTCTTCCTCGGCGACGGGTATCTGGTGATATGCCCGTACCAAATCGAGAGTGGTGTAAATCCGGGTGCCCTCCAGCGCTTGTGCGAAGTCGTGTATATGGCGCACGGGGTATCGATCCGGTATCGAGCGTGCGTTTACTGCTCGATAGTCCCCGCATGGTCTCCAATTCTCCCCTTTCTTGGGGACAAGATGAAGAGGTGATGCCCAGCAACTTTTCGAAGGCCTAGCGATGCCGAGTTCAATCATGTTTTGGAACTCTTGTTTGGCAATGGCCAATTTATCAGGTGCTAGCCTGCGTGGTTTGCAAGCCACTGGAGGTCCTGGCGTAGTTTTGATGAAATGGCGGGTGTTGTGTTTGGTCTGCCGAGGTCGTCCGTCTGGCCTTGTGATGTCAGGGAATTCACTGAGTAATGCGTGATATGGCGTAGTTCCTCTGATTGTTTTGACGCAGACCTTGTGTGAATTGATTTTGCGTCCTGGCACAGTCAGGTTAGTTACCTGGTCTACCAGTCGACGGTTTTTCAAATCGACCAGCAAGTCAAAATGTGCCAGGAAATCGGCTCCGATGATGGGCTTTGCCACGTCGGCGATGACGAAATCCCACGTAAAACAGCGTCGGAGGCCGAGGTTTAGTGTGAGTGCCTTGGAACCGTAAGTATGAATTGCGGTCCCATTTGCTGCCGCCAGTTCGTACGTGGATCTTGTGCGTGGCCTGCGAAGGTATGTGCGGGGGTACACGCAAAAATCGGCGCCAGTGTCCACGAGGAAGTCTATCTTGGTGTCGAGGTCCATGACGTATAGGCGGCGCGTCGTTCCGAGCTCCCTTTCGGCCGCCATTACTGGGGAGTCGACGCGGGAGTTTCCCGTTTTTCGGAAATTTCATAGTGGTTGGCATTTCTTTGCAGCTTGTCCGAACCTGCAGTGGTACCAACATGGGCCCGAGGCAGATTTTCTTCGTTGCCCAGAACGTGATCGGGATCGTGGCCTTGGCCGGAATTTGTCTCTGCCGCCTTCTCTTAATTCTTTTAATTTTAGAACTGCGACTTCGTTCTGCACGGCTGCTATCTGCTCGAGCAGTAAACGGTGTAGGGCGTTTGCGTCGGTAGCAGGAACCACTTCAGAGATTTTGGCGGTCGGAGCTTTAGTTGCCTTCATAATCGTGTCCGCAATCTCTGCTAGCTGGTCAAGAGTATCGTTGGTTCTTGACACAAGGTGTGGCTGTATGTGCGCAGGGAGTCTGCTTAGCCAGATGGTGCGTAATACGCCATCGCCTACCACGGTGCCGGCGAGGTTCCGGAGATGCCTCAGAAATTGCGAAGGCTTCCGATCGCCGATTTTCTCGTGCTCGAGGAGTTGTCGCGTTTTGTGTTCCTGCAACAGGCTGAGCCTCTTGATGAGCTCTGCTTTTAGTGTGCCGTAGGCGTTTTCTGCAGGCGGATTCATTATGATGTCCCGAACCTCGAGAGTGTGACGCGGTCCGATAGCTGTGAGAGCGTATCCGAACTTCGTTGCGTCCTGGGTGATACCGGCGGCTTGGAAGCTACGGTCGATGATGTTGAACCATAGCTCCGGGTTAGCCGGGGTGAATTCGGGCATTCGCAAGCCTACCCGGTTGACTTCCTCCTGGAGGAACACGGCTTGTGCCTCGATGCCGGAGGTGGAAGCCGTTGGCGTCGTC